CGAGTGGAAATCTCTTATTCACTCTGAATTATTCTTAGACATTTTGAAATAATAGATGCCACGACCACAAGTGTGAAAGATCGCGATTGCCAAACAGTTTTGTCATCAAAATATCAGTCAACACGTGCTAAATTTGCTGATATTTATCACAATATGAACAACACAGCAACCGTTAGCATGACCTGAGCTGTGCCGCAGCAGATGTGATGAAACTCGTTTTTTCTTACTTTATCACTCCCACTCAAATTCTGTTTTCTTTTACTTTGAGCACAACCCTGGCTTTATTTCACCTCATGTCATCATCAATCAAATGTCAGTGTCTTAACCCGGTGCCGTGACATTCAGCCAGGGGTGCCTACCACTGCACAAATATCTAATATAACACAAAGTGATAAGACACCTGTGACAAGACCTTTCAACTCCTGATCCTGCTTTCAGACCCCGTCTCCATCTCTCCTGCTGCGAACTGAATGCATTTCTTGACTCGATATTGTTGCTGTGGCATTACCATACCAAGTCGGCTGTTGGATGGGGAGTTTAGACCACAGTGGGAGGGGAATAGCTCTCTCGTTCAAGCTGTAACTGCTGATTGCAGACACAAAGTATACTGATGTAGAAAAATCTGTAGCACAGCAAATCCAACCTTAAGACCTGGCAATCTGTTAGAACAGATCTGCTCTTCTGCCTCTCTTACTTCTTCTTTGTGTGCAGGTTTTTCCTTTTTTTCATTTGGTTATCTGGCTTCAGCGTTAGCTTTCGGTTACAGTCGTGTTTTAGTGCTTTAGACTGTGTGTTTTCAGTCAAAGATGAGGAAAAAAACATTCCAGTACAACTTTAGGCTCACAAATTAGTATATCGTATCTTCTTCATATAATCTATACAAACAATTTTTTACCCAAGGCAGGTAACAAACAAGTCATGCAGGAAAACGTCACTCCCAAACTTGAAATAGTTCAGCAATGTAACAAAACTTACAGACATATAAACTGCACATTTTTAGTGCTGCTGGTAGGTGAATCTTCTCACAATTAAAGTCAGATTTGCCGTTTTCCCCCCGTTGCTCAGTGAAGCCGACATGCTGCTGCTAGAAGCTGCTGTAACAGCGCTTTCATATTTTACAGAGCATATTTTCCAGGATGTTAAACTTTTCTTTCATTTAGTCTTCAGAAAGAGAGTGCTGAGCTCATTTGCATTCAATTAGTCAGCTATAAACAGTGAATCCAAGCAGAAAAAAAAGTTCCCAGGGCAATGAAAATAAGGAGTCATTTCCCTTTAAGGCTACTTTATGATCAGGTCATTGAAGGTATGTTAAATATATTTTTTAATCTGTATACTTCTGAGACGTGTATGAACGCAGGGTAAACACAGTCAGCCAATATCAGCTCGCGCAGCATTCAGCACACAGCCTCCTTTCAATCCCTCTGGTAAACAATCCGTGTGGGGGGAGATTGAAAAACAGCAAGAACCCGCGTCCAGATTTACATTCTAATCAGGTGACACCCCCTGTCTACTCTGAAGCACACGCACTCTCGCACACTTTCCATTATTACAAAGTTGCACACACAGAAACCCAGAACACCCGATGTGCACAAACACTTCCTTTCACCCCGCTATCTCTCTATTTTTCTGTATCCCACAAACACACACACACGCTGACCAAGTCTGAGTGACAGCACAAGGTGAGTGGATATATCTGGTAGCAGGAGGCACTGTACAGCATGTCTGTCCTTTTCCCGCTGCCTTTGCTTCTTTATCTCTCACTTCTGGAGTCGTCTCTGCTCTATCTAATTTTCAGCTATACTGTTCATTTACATGTGGGGAACAGAGGATGCATTTAAAGGGGCTCAGACACCCTGTGCGTGCCTCCACAGCATCTGCCCGTCTCGCATAGAGGAGCACCACTGTTGACCTTGTCAAGAGCTACTGCTTCATAATAACATTTCTTCCCTGGAAATGCCAGAAGTGCTGCTTCATTTGATGCGAGACACAGATTAATAAAAAGCTATTTGGCTTGCCTCGTGTTTATAGTTTGAAAAGTATAATCATCTTGATGGCTCTAGCTCTGCTTCAGATGTCACAGTGCAAATGTTAACAGGGAGCTGTTCTCAATGGACTGCAGCTGTACGCTTGGTGAGACATCCCATTATGATGCAAAGAACACTCCACTGTTATCATGACAAACACAACGAGGAACATTTCTGCTGAAGTAGTTTATTTGCTTTAAACTGTGGGAGAGAACATATTTAGATATGGGATAACTACACAGAATGACAGTGATTAGGCTCAAGCTAGCTGTAAGATGGGGAGCTGTGTCGGCAGGTCCACGGCTGATAAGATCCATCCACTCCCGGAGCTCACGCGTCATCAGTGGGCAGACAGGCAGCTCCACTGGCTGCAACACAAGACACGAGCGGGGAGGAGAGGCAGGACCCATGTCCTGTGTTGCAGCCGTTGGCCCAGCCAGCAAGTCACCTTCAGCTCTGGCCAGCAACAGCTGATCCACTGTGGAGAGGAAGACTAGGAGACACAGGGGAAGAAAATTTGGGGGAAGGGGCGGGGTGGGGGGTGGGGTAGGGGTTGGGGATAAAGTCAGTTACAATCCATTCTGTGTGAGCGACATAAGGAGCAGATGGGAGAAAATGAGAGGAGGAGGGCGATAGAGAGCGGTGGGACCAGAGAATAAAGCGGTGACCTGAGGGGAAAATGAATGGGAGTAATAGAATGAAGGAAAATACTAATGGAGTGCAAATGAGAGCAAGAAACAGAGGCACAAGGACGATGTGCCACACCACGGACACCGAATTTATCAAACGGCCAATAAAAATGTCCCTTTTCACCTTGTAAAGAAGATGTTGGCCTTCCTGTCTACAAGTCACATCCAGCTTGCTGGAAGAGAAACACTCCTCTGCCCCAAATTGCCTGACTAGAAGGTTAATGACTGCTAGTGCCATGGGCCCACAGAGAAAGATCTGTGCGAGGTGTCCTTATATAGACGCCCCGTGGTAGAATTGGCGCACGTCATTCGGAATAAACGTAATCATTACTTTAGCTGTGCATTGCACAGTGAAAAGAAATTTAATCTGTTGGGTGTGACTGAGGGGGAAGAATTACACATGCATGCCAGCAAACCAAATATTTATTCCATGTATTGGTCTCATGGGTAAGTGGTTTGTCATCAGAAAGGCAGAAAGCATGCAATCAATTCCCAAACTACCCCCAAGCTCCAGATATTCTCGATCATTTTCTGCTCTTCTCTCTCTGGGAGTCTGCCATGTAACAGGCATTAAAAGGTCAAACCTGAGCAAACTCTAAGCGGCGTGTAACACAAACAAAGGTCTGAAAATGTCACAGTTTCACAGATATGTCCTCATATCTGCGTCAGCAGGCAAAACAACAAAAAATAATCAAGGGAAGCCTTTTTTCAATGATATTTCTTCTAAATTTCTGATGTGCTGTGTTTCCTGTCAGGTTAAATCTCCGGTCTCCTAACCCTTTCAAAGATGCTTACATCAGCCTCACCGGTTACACCAGGCTCCTGCTTTGGTGATGCACTATGGTTTGGCAATTACACGATTATCTTTCCCTCGCCTAGTTCCGCGTATGAAAATGGGTCCAACCTAGATTCAAAACTACAGGGAGATGAACTCAGAGGACACATGAAAGGAGCTGAAGGACGAAGCAAGCAAAGAAAGTAATAGAAAGCCAGGGGCAGAATTCAATTCATTTAACCTTTTTTTCTATTCTGAATAAAAAAGTATGTAAGAAGAAAAGTAGAATACCATGCAACTGGGACTCTGAATATTTTGAGGGAGGTAGAGGTTTTGAAGTTTGAAAGTTTTAGAGGTAACGATGTCAAATATAATTGCACAGATATTTTTTTAGGAAGACAAAAATGGCTTCCATTAACACTTGAGAACAATCCTTTTTAAGTGTGTTTTCATGAATATCTGACTGCCTACAAGTATGTATGGCATTACTGGGCACCAGCTCCTTTTCTAATCAAGACTGCAGGGCATTAATAAGACATATGACAAAAACGGTGACTAATAATGGTTGACATACTACTGGAAACTGCCCAAGGCAACTTGGCTTTGGTGAGAAAGAAGCCACCCTGATTCTACATTTAATCATTTACGTGAATTGCCTTTCATTACGGCAGCAACAATGGGTTCTGACACTACTGAAATGACTTTGCCAGACAAAAATCCTGCAGACACAGTGCAGTTATTTGGAATTGTAGGTGAAATATTGATTATAGGTAATAAGTGCCATTTATTCTCCATAAACAGAACAATGATCGCGCCGAGCGTCGTCTATCCCTTCACCAAAACCTCGCCATTGGAAAAGATCCTACACTATTGAACGATTCACACAAAAGGATGCTCTACAATGCTGTATTGTGCCAGTGCTAACAATGGTCTGGCTATTCTGATCACTCTCTGATAGGGAGACAGAATCCTTGCCGGAAGATCATGAGGAAACGGTACGAGGAAAATCTGCATACTCGATATCCTAATTTACATAATGCTAGTGCCCCTTTCTTGCCCCTGCTCAATAGACGGTTTATGCTCATTAACAAAATTGCTGTATAAACTTGCTTATAACAAGAAAAAAAAGTCAGGGCATAGCTGAAAAAATTCTGATACAGATATCAGATTAAAAATGTCAATTACCCAGTCTGTTTAATATCAAGGTCATCATCACTGAGTCCACAGTGTAGCACAGATTCCCTTATGTGCATGTGTAACATGCCTGTGTACATGTACAACTGTGTCTGTATGCGTGAGGACCTTGAGAATGTAGACTGGCTCTTCAACCACCCTTTGCTTATCTAGGCTTTGACTTAAAAGAGAAAAAAAACACACTGAAAACCACTCTGAATATGACACAGCACAGCCAAAGGTAAAAGAAAAAAGAAATAAGAGACGTGTGATGTTTTCATAAGATATCACACCATGTACATACAAAGTGGTACTATTCTGCTTTTCCTTTCATATGTAAAAAAAAAAAAAAAAGTATAGAACCAACCCTCATTTCTTTTTATCTTGCTAGGAAAAATGAGGAGAACGCGCAGCAATTTCTTCAAACATGCAAACATCCATGACTGATAGTGTTCCATTCTGTGTTTTTCTATCCAGATATGCTTTTACTGCACTAGCAGTACATTTGGGATCATTGTCATGCTGAAAAATGAAACTGTTGCCAATCAGTTGCTTTCCAGATGGTATTACATAGTGGATTAAAATCTGATGGCACTGTTCTCTCTTCATAATGCCACTGGTTTTGACAAGATCTCCAACACCACTGGCTGGCATACAGCCCCAAACCCTGACAGAGCATCCACGATGTTTACAGACAGCTGACAAATCAGAAATCTTACATTTGGATTCATTACTCCATCAGACCTGTTCCCACTGATTTACAGCCCAGTTCTTGTATTGTTTGACATACCTCAGCCTTTTCTTCCTATTTCCCTTCATTAAGAATGGCTTGTTGGAAGCCACCCTTCCACTGCGACTATTTCTAATGAGGCTTTACTGAACAGTAGATGGATTGTGATGACATCAGCCACACATAGGTAAAACGAGTCCATTCGTTCACTTTATTAGTTTGGTTTGCAGTTGCTTCACTAATATAATTCATTATTTTACTTGAACCTTACACTGATATTATGAAGCGCACGGATAGTAGCATTGTGTGGTTTTTCTATAAATGTTTTCTGTTATATTAATTATGTTTCTCTTTCTTTGAGTTACCTGGTTTGGGATGGTGGCTGTTTCCTGTCTGGGCAAAAGGTGTGGCTGAGGACTTTAAGAACAAAATGCCTCCTCAGCAGGACCAACCATGTGCTTATCAGAAACAGGGGTGTTTTAGGTTTACTTCTGTTATTCTGTGCTTAGTTAGTATTAGTATTTATTTTTGTTTCCCCCTATTGTGTGTAATAGGGTTTGGCCGAACCACTATAAAACCTACCCTCTTGTGTCTTTGTAATTAGGTCAGTTTGTGAGCTAAGTTGCCCACTTTGTTTGTTTAAGTTTCTGGAAATTACTTTTTGCAGAGTTATATTTAGTTGACCTCTTTTATGGGCCCACTAATTATATTTTAGAATTTTGTCTTTTTGAACTGTTTTCGAGGGTTAAAATATAGAAAACCCATTTTGAAGAAAAGTTTTTCTGTGTCCTCTATGCCTTGGCTGCTTGGTCCCTCACATGGATCAATTGAAGGTCTAGGTGTAACTCTCAAGTCCTGTGTCTGGTTTTTGCTGGATTTTTTTCTTACTTTGCTTGGACAAAAACACAACTTTGTGCCCATCAAAACTGTTTTAACTTAGACATTTTTCACGTAAAGAGACTGTCAACAAATGATGTGTAACAAAGTGCCTTAAGATCAAATATGAAGTTGATTCTTTGCTGAATGTTGATGTGCTCATACAACACTTGTTCATCCCTTGAGTTAGGAGCATTATATATGCTTGAATGATTAATAGATCAGTGTTAGATCAGTGTTAAATGGCTTAACAGACCAACAAAAAATAACTGAAGGTCTTTCACAAAACAACCAATGTGAAAGACCGTCAGAAAGCCTGGTGAAAACTGTTGCTGAAGACCACTTTAAAAAAACTACCAGAAAGTGGAGCTTCTTGAAAAATGAAGGAAAAGGCAAAGAAATGAGGGCTGGTTCAAAAAGGGATATTCCTTCTGTGACCACAGCAGCTCCATCCACCTTCTGTTTACAAGGGGCATCTAGCCAAAGACAATTTTCCCAAACAGAGAGAAGCTAAAACAGCTTGTTTCAGGCAGATGAACATAGGGGCTGCAGTAAAGCTCAGTATAACATCAGTAAGGCTTATTCTGAACTCTCAATCAAGCAAAGCTACTTTAGTTTCTAAGCTGAAATAAAACACTATATCGCCAAAAGTGTTCACTCACCCATCCAGTGACTTCCATGGTGCATAAAATCAGGCACCAAGCGTTGCAGACTGATTCTACAAACATATTTGAAAGGATGAATTGCTCTCAGGAGCTCAGTTAATTCCAGTGTGGTACTCTGTTAACTCTTGTAGGATGCCACATGTGCTTCAAATCCATTCCTGAAATATCGAAATATTCAAAATAATATAAAGCCACTAAATATTCCACAGTTAGTGTTATTTAAACAAAGTAGAAGTTATTGGTCAAGACAGCAACTCAGTCATGAAGCAGTAGGGTATGTAAAAATCACAGAGCAGGGTCAGCAGATGCTGAGGCGCATAGTGTGTGTGAGGTCACCAACTGGTGGCAGACCTCCTTCAGATTAGCTGAAGAACAGTGCGTATAGAACTTCATGGAATGGGTTCCCATGGCACGCTGCCACTGGACTCGGAACAGTGGGGAAGTTTTCTCTGGAGTGACGAATTACGCTTCTCCGTCTGGCAATCTGATGGATGAGTCTGGGTTTGGCGGTTGCCATGAAAACGGTGCTTGTCTAATTCCATTGTGCCAAGTGTAAAGTTTGGTGGAGGGGGCATTATGGTGTGGGTTTCTTTTTAAGAAGTTGGGCTCAACCCCTTAACTTCCAGTGAAAGGAACTCTTAATCCTCCAGCGACAATTTCATGCTCCCAAGTTTGTGGGAACAGTTCTGGGATGGCCCCTTCCTGTTCCAACATGACTGTGTGCCAGTGCACAAATCGAGATAAAGACAAGAAGGAGTTAATTTGGTGTAGAAAAACTTGCCTGGCCTGCACAGAGTCCTGACCTCAACCCAACAGACCACCTTTGAGATGAATTAGGGAGGAGACTGCAAGCCAGGCCTTCTCATCCAACATCAGTGTCTGACCTCGCAAATGTCATTCTGAGTGAATGATAACAAATTCCTATGAGCACACTCCACAACCTTGTGGAAAGTCTTTCCAGAAGAGTCGAAGCTATTATAACTGCAAAACTTGGCCCAATATATTAAACCCAATGGACAAAGAATGGGATGTCACTCAAGTACATCTGCAGATGAGTGAATACTTTTGGGACTATTGTGTATTTGCAAACATATTAACATATTAAAATTAAAATTAAACATATTAAAAGGCAACATGTTTGGTAATATGTAAAGAGGTTTAAATGATTATCATTTTACCAGGGAAGTTTTGTTTACCTAGAAGAAGGATTTTAGTGTTTTTCCAGGCATGTCTTTGAAGAGAAACTGGCTACAAATCCCTTTTATTATGAACAGCACATAATGGACGAAGGCTTTTCTATTCCTCACTTTTCCTCTCCTTGTTATTCTCTAGGGATACACAACCTTTATAAAAAGACCTTAGCTGGTCCCTGCTCTGGGTCCCTTCTCTTGATGTTGTGTGAATGAGCCACTGTTCTCTCGGGTTCTGGATGCTGGGATCGTCCCGATTCAAACAAACAGTGTTTGTAGAACATCTTTGTTCTCCTCAACCAGATTTGCATGGTGCAGTATTCTGTACCAGCAGCTTTGGCTCACAAACAAACACACACACCAGCCACAGCGCTTATATACACAAACACATACAAATATACACATGCATGCACACACTTACAATGATGTTCTGCCTCTGGCTTGTACACAGAAAGCACACATGCTCTCATTGTCTAAAAATGGACATCAATAAATGATTATGCTGTAAGGCAATGTTTTAAAAAAAAAGTTGATAAAAGAGGAATATGTAACAAGGTCAGATAACCAGATCACCTCCTTTTAGGTTTTCCCGTCTACAAGCGTAGTATAAGCGATGAGAAGGTTGGTTGAAAATAGCACAAGAAGAAAGTCTGTTGGCCTGTACAAGTGCAGCTTCCAGTAACAGTTAAGTGACTCAGCCTTCTTCACAAATAATCTCAGCGGAGGAAATAATCACTTCAAAAAAAACTTAATTTTTTCATTTCAAAGCAGCTTTATGAAATAGCATTTCAAAGCCACCAGACTATTGATTGTAAATGAAGCCGAATGAGCTGCCATCCTTGAAGTAATGTGTGTGCGAGTGTGTGATAATTCCCAGAAAAGCACCAACAACATCCAACTTGCGTTCAAACCAAATTCTTGAGCAAGTGAGGCTGTGACCTTGATCTTCTTTTTCTCTCGCTCTGTTTTTCTACAGACTATTCATCTACACTGTGGATTGCGATTAAATGCATCACAAGCTGGGTGTGTTTGAAGAGCTCACACTCTGAACGATGCATTTACAAAGGAAATGCTTCCATAACTCGAAGACAGGGTCTGCCTGCACATGCACGCGCATCCGTGTTTGCACTGATACAAAAAGAGAAAACCAGAAGCACTTGCTGATTAAAAAGTAGCAAATAAGCTCAGTTTTAACAAGACTGCACTGACAAGATGACTGCACACAGAACATTTAAACAAACGCAGCCAGTTATAAGGATGCAGCATACAAACTGACTCTCTGAGTGACCTTAACACTATTAATTTTTAATTCAAGTATATAATTAGCCTTGTTACTGAATGGGCTGTTCAAGTCAGCAGAATTCCAGCTTGAGACATGTTTAGTCAAATGTCTGCAGGGGAATGCCCTCATATAACAACTGCAGACCAATTAATATCAGTAATATGCATCACTGTGTAGGGGGAAACTGCTTAAAGTAGACTCTTGAGTTGTGACCACTCTGTAGCTGACATGTGCATGCATTTTAAGCACACGTGCATTTACAGTAGCACAGCGCATTGTGCCTTTTCTCTTGAGCTATCTCAGCACTATTGGAGTTGGTGTTGCATTTCAGAAGCGATAGCTGGCTCGATAGCTCATGCCGATGCTGCTGCTGCTGCTCGGATTGGCGTTTCCCTGCAGATGCTGACAGAACACTTTGAGGGGTGTCTCTGCTCCCCACTGCGAGGTCCATACGTGGAAGAAAAGTCCCTCTGGCACCAGACCTGCCTCACCACTGCATTACGGAGACAGGTGTGGTTCTACATGGCTCAACGAGTAGAGCATCAGTGCCGTCAGGGCTGCAGGTTCCATCCTCTGTGAGTCAGCAGAGCACAGACAATTTCAACTACCTTCTGGTGAAACTAATTCTAACAGTCTGCAAAAATGTGTGCTGAAAAGCTGCCGGCAATATGTTTTCTAATGTTCTCCTGCAAATATAAATGTCCTCACTTTCACACCGCCTTCAGAGACTTGCTAACACCACAATACTGCCTGGCAGTTATGTGATCAGTCTCTATAGGCTTCAGGTTTCCTGTGCCCTGCAGGAAAATTGTTACTGTTCAGGTCAGGGGAGAAGTATTCCACAAGTCTTTGATCGTTCAAGCTGAATTTATTTGGCTCATCACAGCAGCAACATTCATCTCTGCCAATTTACTGCTACATTTCAGTGTTAGTGAAAATGAAAGCAAAATGCCTACCTTCCCATCCCCGTCCAGGTCCAATTTTATTTCTGCTGCACGCCTGTAAAGAGGGGATGAGGATGTAGTCGTACTTTATAGCACCATATCAACCTCTCTGACTGTCTTTGTGTCGCCCAGTCTGACTCTCCCTCGGACTCGCGAGTCAATTTAGTCCTGCAGTGAGAGGAGAATCCCTTTATCCGTGGACTACACTTTACGCGGAAGGCACCGACTTGAACATTTCATTCTTGCGTGGAGGCGCCTGCCTGCCGGACCCTGATAAAGTGGAGATTTACTCGCGCACCAAGTGAGGAGCTATCCCTCACACTCCAGCTTACTCGGTCAGTTTCTGAAAGCTCTATGGCCCAGTGATTTAATGTCGTTTCAGCGTCTGGTGGCAGACCTCCTAGCCCCCCACTTGCCTCCCTAAACGAACGAATGCAAGCGCGCACACGCACGCGTGACCACAACCTGTGAAGATAAATAACTTCTGTGTTAATGGGCCGTCAAATTCACAACAGAAAGAAAATTGAAAAATAAAACTGAATATCTAAAACATCCGCAATGGCCGAGATAGTAATCGGTGGCTGATATAAATTCAAAGTCAAAAAAAAAAAAATTTGACACTGTAAGCTAATGCCCCAAACTCTACATTATACTGTAATATTAAAATTAAACTTCTTCAAGGGAAATGATGTTGAACTTATCAGCTGAGGGGATGTCGTCAGAGGTTATTGCGCCTTTCAGGTTCACGTGGGACCGTGATAATTTAGAGAAGGCTAAACAGTATTCCTTTGACTTGAATGTCAGTATTTGTACAACACGAAGGCTTGGAAACCTACCGAGAGACCGAATCGACATACCTGAAAAGGATATGCGTAAAACGCATCGGTCCGACAGTCAGTGCTTGGACACGCTGGGACGAGAGGGAGACTGTGTTGTCGCTGGTGGTGAATAAAATCTCTTATGTCGTGTAAAACCTCCTTGTAAACTTCTCTCTTGTCATCTTCGGTCTGTGTTCTGTTCATCAAGCGTTATATCTGACCGACCGGCTCGCTTCTTTTGATGTCGGTGGTAGGAGGGTACCCAGAGGCGCGCACTGGGGAGATTCTTCCTCCCCTCTGCCGCTTCAAAATATCCAATTTCACACACTGACTCTTTTTTCTCCCCGCAGAATTCCCTTCTGGAGCAGGTGCAATAATTTCACTGGATCCACCCGGAGTTTTATCAGAGTTAAGAACCCGAATCCATGTCGCATATATGTGTGGTTTCTTTCATGGTTTTGCAAGGTTTGCTATTGCTTTGGTAAGCTCTGAACACAGAAAAAGGGGATATTAACATATCTCATGGCCATTTAACGTTGGTAAGTCATGATATCCAATAAGCTTCAAGGAATGATGACATCAAAGGGTATCTGTTCAGTACTGGGATGACTGCACTTGCGCAATTACGTTTTGGGTTTTTGTTTTGTTTTTTACCTTAGTTAATGACATTTAACTCAGTAAGTGTTGACTCCAAACAGGGCCATTACAGTCATTGATGATACCTTAGACTAAATAGCCTTTATCGTTTAAACTTCGAATTTTAACATTCAATTAATTCCCAGTGTCAAGTGATATGCGATTATTTTTTTATTGTAGTTTTTTAGTTTTGGTCTTCTTCTTCTTCTTCTTCTTCTTCTTCTTCTTCTTCTTCTTCTTCTTCTTCTTTTTTTGCAATATCAAATGAGAGAATGGTGTTGAAATCAATACGCTCCGCCATGTGTTCCCTAATTACTCAGTTTCCCATAATCCAATGCAAGTAACGTCAGAATCTCGCGACCGGAGGTAGCTAACTGGAACGCTAGTTAGCTCAATGCAGACTTGATGAGAATTAGAATTTTCTACAGTCGTTCCGTTGCAGCTTCTCCAGTAGTGGAAAGGACGCCTGTCTAGTCTCCACTTTGTACTTGTTAAGCCGGCTAATCATTTACGGAGGAAGTTTTTATTTGCATTCGCAGGAGAGTTTCCGTTTTCTCACGTGCATCATCAGAAAAATGGAGATTTCTCCTGAGATAAAATCAAACAGCTTTCTGCTGGACGCTTCTCTGCTGTATAAGGATAGCTGCCCGGAGTTATCTCGCTTCTACATGTAAGATACTTCACTATAACCAAACACGAATACCACTTAAAAGTATATTTTACTTGCAGTCCTTTATTGTTGTGATGCTAGCAAGTGGACGCTAGGTGGAGGTGTTCGCCCAGTGTGACCGGGAAAGTTTCTAGCTCGACGATGATGTCAGGGCTTTAGAATTAGAGCTATAATTTCAAAATATCTTTATTGTTTATATATATATATATATATATTGGGGAAATTGAAAAGAAATTATGATTGTAGCCCCCACTATAGTTCCTTATTACTCAGGCTATAGTTTCGCAGTTATAAGGAACTATAGCTTTGGAACTGATGTCCTGTCAATCATTTTGAGATTGGTTGAGCTCTGACGTCAAACATATTAAGCCACTGTTTATATCTCATTCTTTTTTCACATGTTAATTTAAATAAGAATGGGTTATGTGCTCGTGCTTTCATTGCTTTTTTATAACTTTTTGTGTTACAGTCACCTCGAGGATAATCGGATCACTGGTGGCTACAGTGAAACTGCAGAAACACATAATACAGTGAAGTCTAAAAATAAGATGTGGCTGCTGCTTACGTTGGTCTTTAGTGGTGCCTCAGGTGTCAATAGTGTTGAAGTTTTGGAGCATGAATTGTTGTACTTTTCCACTGAAGTTTAGCCTGCTGTAGTTCTTCTACAACAGTGACTTACTGTAGCTGGACATGAGCCCATGTGAGAGTCCCAGCCGTGGCTGCTCGTGTTTGTGGGCAATTCTGCAATGCCTCAGTGATAGTTTCAATTTAAATGAATTACAGTTTGGTGAAATGGTTTCAATTGGTGAGAACGAGACATCTTCCTAACAAGCTCTGAAATCAAAGCACAAGGAAGTAAACAAAGTGGTGGTGGTGCAGACAGTCCCTCTAATCATCGGGTAAGAGAGCCAGGCAGTATGTAAGCCTCAGCCTCATCCTTGTATGGTTGGTAAACAAACCCAAACAGAGCCCTGATCCAGCATTCCCAAGGTGTCTTATTCTTTTTAGATTCCTGTAATTAAGTCTTTGAATTTTTAATCAGAATTAAACACATTAGTTATTATAGCCACTTTATGATTTTATTCATCATTTACAGTTCACTTCTTGAACTTCAGAATTTTGGTGTCTGATAGCCGTTCCAGACATTGGTGATTGCCGTGTTGTGGTGAAAGCTGGAAGTAATTTCAAGAGAAATCCTCTTAAGCCTTTGTGTGTGTGTGTGTGTGTGTGTGTGTGTGTGTGTGTGTGTGTGTGTGTGTGTGTGTGTGCGCGCGCTCATGCATGCGCTCAGGCTGTGCCCACTTGCTAGTATACAGACTTTTCTTCTTTATTAGGGTTTAAATTGAGCATTAATGCATCTAAAATGTTTTAAAATGTGCATATGTCTGTGTAGGCTCTTTCCACAATCCTTAGACTGTGCATATATGTGTGGACTCCTGCGATTCGTGCATTAGTTGGGTTTCAGCCATGTCCCTGTGTCCTTTGGCTTGTCTTCTCTCTTACCTGAGCCAGGAAATTGTGGGCAGAACCATGAATGGAAAGAAAAACAGAGGTTTTAATGGTGAAAACCCCAGTCCGGGTCGTTTTCCGGATGTGTGTGAACCCACTGCTGCTTTAATAACATTGATCTGTTCCCCAGATTCCCCGGCTATGATTAGCTGTGGTATTTGAGAACATTTTGAACACGTTTAACTCTGACCAGCTGTCCAGCAGGCAGGACACAAATCTAAATGTTTGGCTTTGTAACTCAGAGACCTCACTGGTTTTACGCCAAAGTGCCTGGCAGAGAAGACACAATGAACAGCCACTGCCAAAATGTACACTTAGTGCCATGAGCTAATTAAGTGATCCGAGTGATAATATGAGAGGCAGCATACAGGAAGGGACTCATGCTACGAATAAAAGCCTCAGACGCATGCTTTGAATGCACAACTGATCAAACCGTGCACCCGCGACAGGAGAGGAACTGAAAATATTTGAGTCGGCATACATTGGTGTATGTGATCAGAGTGCATTGATGTTCTGAATCCTGAGGAATTACGACCATGTCCATGTGTTCCTTTGGGGGTTTCCACTGTCTCCACTTTCTGCAGGCCAATGCGTCACTGGAGTGTTTGTTCTGTGGGTGCGCAATTACTCATACGCTCATACTCCGCATATTTGTAGGAGATGGTGTTACTGCCTTCTGGCACAGTCTTCACCTTCTGCCAGGCCAATGACTGAAAGAGTTAGTATGTATGTTTGCATGGGGCATTACACCTATTGTTGAATTCGATGTACAAGTACTTGGTGTGCTTATTGTGGCTCACGTTGTTGAATCAGTGAAGCTTTTTCCAGTAAGTTCGTAATCATAGTTGCGTGTCTGGTAACTAGACCTTGACTGGCTGTTCTGATTACCAAAACAAATATGCATGTCGTCTGCTGGACAAACAATTTGGAAACTTGTTTTGGTTTCTTGTTTTGTCTTTTATTGTCCTCACACAGGCCTCACATGGTTTTCAGTCTAGAAGTACAGCTGCAATTGCCGTGTGTTGGTTAATATTATTGGAACTCTTGAGTAATTAGTGTGGGAGAAATATATAGCAAAAGCAAGAGGGCTTCAAGGCATGATTGTTCCTTAATAACTTCTGATTGTTTTCTTCATTTTGGCTGTGACATACCACATTCCCAAAAGAAATCACCTACTTAGTCGGCCTAACAAACCTAATTCAGGACCAATGTAGTCAAAAGAAGGTTAATATTTCCATCTGCAGTAGTTTATATTTGGTGGCGTGGCTCTGTTTTGGGATCTCCCTGCCTCTCCATGTGAATATGTGGAGTGCATAAGGCAACTGAGTATAGGCTGAGGTATCTTTTGATAGAATGCCCTATAACAGATTTACACATAGATTTGTAGAAGGATATCAGCCACGTGTTGTCAGCTCACCCTGGGATCAATTTATATGCCACATTTGCAAAGTAAACAGAGAAATCTAACCCTCTTGTTTGCTAGCTTGAAGCAATGATTTTGTTGCCTTTTTTTGTTTTTTGTTCACCAGTTGACCTGCCAACAAAGCATTTTTGTTATTTTTATTTCAACTCATATCTGCCATTTCTTGATGTATGCTCTATCATCAAGGTAAGGAAAGGTAAGTCGATTCTGGTCATCTGGACACTGTTTTTAGCGGGAGAAAACGTCTTCAGTGTGGACCTCTTCAGCCTCTTCAGAGCCTCAGCCCCAGTAAGCTGTGTAGGCAGAGATCATCCTCACCGATCTTTGATGCCCACCCAGTCATTTCGTTCTAGAAGCAGGCCTGAAATATGACAAACCTCTCATTAAAAAAAAGAATTATCCAAAGGGCAAAGAATTAAAGGTTAATCCAGATATGCTTGGATTGCATTCTCTTAAGCCTCTTTTTCATTAGTACCTACTCAACTTGACTTGACTCCAATATGCGTAGGGCCATTACAGCAAGGAGGTCGAAAGTCCTCTGACATCATTTGTATACGACACAGGCTATATGTATTGCTTTTTTTCCAGACTCGGTTACCACGGTGTTGTTTTTTATTTAGCCATTTCCCTCATCGCTGCGTTTCAACAGTACCAGTTTGGATTTTTGTCACTCTTATGAGTCCTCGAGTAACTCCACTGACTAGCCAATGCTGATGGACGCCCATGGAACTCCGGGCAAGTGGCTACAAAAAAAATATTTGGTCCTAGGTATTACCACCTAATGGGAAACCATAAAAACAGAGTTGAGCCAAGCCGAGCTATTGCTGACTGTCCTCACTGACCACTCGAGTGCTTAAGTCAAAAAGCTACATTTATTCAAAACACTTTATGAAGCTCACATCCAGAACCGATTCTAGAATCACCAGTTATCCTAACATGCATGTCTTTGGATTGCGGCATGAAGTTCAAATTCAACCATCCAGGAGATTTGAACCCAGTCTTCCTCCTGTAGGGCAGCATCACTAAGCACGGCATCACTGTCTTGTTAAATTTGTCACTGCATTTTTTTCCTGCTGTTTGTCACCACCTTTTAAAGGCCTTTTCCCCTCTTCCGTTCCCTTTATCCAACACTTGCCCTCATTTCCTCTCGTACTGTATCACTCCTGTTACATCTGCTCTCAGCAGGAGCAAATGATCCTCAGACTGAGAAGGACCTGCTGGCCTCTTTCGCTGTAAGGTCCAGGTGATGAATGAAACCATGTGAATCGGTGCTGTAGAGGGGCACACTTTCTAGAGTATTTCAAGGACTGATTGTGAAGCTGCTACCTGTGCTAGGCCTTTGTGTCTAAATATCTGAATGAGTTACAATCTCCGGTGAAGGTTTTTCAAGATATTCCAGCAGCCCTGTTGTTTTCCCTGATGGTAGCAATAAAATATTCATAATGCTTTTCATTTCATGCCGCAGACAGCACTTCTGTCTATAATCACATTATTACCTTGTAGCCGACACATAATTTCCCCTCACTGCCCTACTGCATCCTCTAGCGCTTCGTTGATCTCCCAGCTGTCAGCAGTTCATCCGTAGGACGCGTATCTTCAGCGTTTATCGCCACAACCGAGCATGCACTTAAAAGGAGATGCATGACAAGTATGTTAATAAGATTTGCACACTGGAAGCAGTCTTTGCGGTGCAGCCTTTCAGAGAGCTGGCTCATTCAGGAAGCTGTGGTAAGGGAGAAAAAGATTCCCTAAAAACATTCCTCGTCTCCGAACTTGAGTCATTCAGTTGTTTTTAGCAGGCTGGTTGTTGGAGGATTGTCTTTCATCTCATGCCAACAAAAAGCTCTTGCTTTTGTTATCAAAATGTATACTGTATAGTGCTGATGTGAACTACCATGGGAAATGTAAATCAACTAACTTCCTGAAAAGGATTTTTTATTTTTTTTAAATGTCAGCAGAGAATGATTAAATAGCTTTCCGAACAACTAACTGCATTTCTGGGATTGTTCAAGGTCCATGAGTCATCATCACTTCACAACAGAGTGACAATCCACCACATCGGCCTCATACAGTTTCTCTTCATTTCCTGTATTATCTGCTGACAGGTCGTCTATATAATCTGACAGCTTAATCCAGTCACTGATTATTAAATTGGGGGTAGTATCTAGAGACAGTGATTCAGACTGTGCAGTGACTGATGACAGATATGTTGCAAAGCCCACAGCGTGCTCAGCTGTATCTGAAATCATCCATCAGTACGATGCACCGTTTCACATATGGCGGGGTTGAGGATGCCGGCGGAGCGTATAAACAAACGTCTGCCACCAGACGCCGCGGCAAAGGCCCGTAGGTTAACTCCAGATTAAAGCCGACCCCGCGCGCCCTCCTCCCTTTCCATAAACAGACAGCCCTATTTCTGTCTGTCCCTGACACACGTGCAGCCGGACAATAAATGTCCCTTTATCGATTTAAGCCCTGAGCTAATTTTAGTGTGGCTTAGTTGTGACTCAGTTAAAATATCTCATTGCGAGTGTTCCCAAAGCGGGGGCAGCCGCATGGGCGGTGAAGCCACTGAATTGGTTTGGAAAGCTGCCCCGTATTGTTTGGGAGAGACCAGTTTTTCCAGTTGCATGTTTTCCACTCCACATAATGGGAATAGATAGTCTTTTTTTTTTTTTTCCCGTCCCCAAAAATTGTTTCCATCTTGTAATTTGTGTGTTTGCAAACATCTATTTTATGCAAATATGCAAGCAATAAACGTATTTATTTCAATATTTTCCATCACACTGTCTCTTACCTTGTTTCTTTCACTGGTCCAGCGTTACAGGAGTTGTTGTGATGTAAATTGAGAGGAGCATTTCAGGATACATGCACGTTAAATTACAAATAAAGTATTTTAAAAATGCACATATACAAGATGTACATTATTAAAATGATGCCTCATGATCGTGTTGTTGTGTTTTGACATAAACTCGGTTATAATTGAAGTCTCAAACTCGTCTCCTCTTTCTCATTCCCAGGCAGGGGTCTTTGAAGGCTAACGGTAAGTTCACGGAGACGTGAGTCCTTGAACGAACTCCCGTTTCATTAAAATTTCTTCTTCCTGTTTCACTTTTGCATGTTTTCATCAGTTCTGCCCCAGAGTGTAATAAGCACACACAGAATGCAGTAGTAAGTAGGACCCTGTCACTGGCTTGTCAAGGTTGATAAAACTCACTAAATCCTCCGCCAAATACTCAGAGGCAGCCAGCTGTCTCAAACAGACTGCCCAGTGGAATCAAACACCCACACGTAGACACTCACAGACACACAAACTCTCAGACCCATGCCAGCCGAAACCACATAAAACGGGAGTGGTGCCATTTAGTAAGGCTCCTCAGACTTTTCTCCTTAAATAGCACAAAGACTCGTCCCAAACTAAGTAACGTGGTGTTTGTTTGGAGTTCTATTAAAATGATCACATTTTTCTATGGAAATAGAAATATGGACTATTAAATGAAAAATTCCAAGATCAAACTATCACCTTTCTGTTATAAATCTCATTTCCTCGTTGTTTAAATTGTAAGGGGCCAGTCTCACGCTTGCATATAGTATTGTGCAAAAACCTTGAGCTACCCCTCGCTTCTTTATATTTGGAAATGTTTGTACAATTCTAACGAGTCTGAAAGTCAATATCTGGTGTGATCTCCTTTATTCTTTAACACAACCTGAACTCTCTGAGGTAGCTTTCATTTTTTTTAAGTAGTCTTCAGGAATAAAAGCCAAAAAAACAACTAGTTATTGGCCAAAGAAAAACTTTGAAAGACCTTAAGAAAGCCTGGAGAACTATTGCTCTAATCTAGTTACTTGGAAGATAATGTAAGACAAAAAGGAGGGTGGCTCAAGACTTTCAATTCAATTTATTCAATTCAATATTTATATAGCGCCAAATCACAACAATAGTCGCCTCAAGGCGCTTTATATTGTAGTGTGGACCCTACAATAATACATACAGAGAAAAACCCAACAATCAAATGATCAAAAGACTTTTGTGCAGTACTGTCCATTTCAGCAATTTTTGGTTGTTTGATTGTTATTTTGTTCAAAAGATACATTTTAGATTGTCTGTGTCTTTCATTTGCTTTCAGGACCTCTGAAACAAAAGTTCTCCAGTATGCTGCACAACACTGTGGTGTGTCCGTACTGTTGCCAGTGGCTCCACCCTGACAATCACCATGTGCGGCTGAGGCCCAAGCAGCGTCCATCAGCACGGGTGCAAAGTGTCCTGCTCAGGAAGGCCAGAGGCAAACGGCTCAGCCTGGTGCAGAAAAATCTGCTGTGCCGCTTCCAGAAGTCCTCGTCGGTACTGGTGAGAAGGCAAACAAACTACAAATCTAAGCACCTGATTATGTGTTTTACTGCACTGCAGCATATTGTTCAGGAGTACAATGGAAGTGACAATTCAAAACCAAGGCAACACAAGGTGCTTTACATAAAACATGCAGGGCCAAAGGAACATAAAAGAAAGGCACACATGTATTTACAAAGAATAAAAAATAAGATAGCACCAAACACAAGAGTAAACATCACGGACGAGTCCAGTGCAGTGCGAGATATAAAGAAATCTCTCCAAAAAAGAAGGCAACGCATGGCAAACATGGATTTAAAAGAGCAGAGCACACCTCTGGTTATGTCTGGGAGTTTGTTCTGGTTATATGGTGCATGCTTCTCCGTGTTGAGTCTTCACTCGGTTTAACCAAGTAATCCCAGCTTTAAGGCTGAACAGTTTCCTCAGCTGTAGTGATGTTAAACTAAAGGTCAGTAGTTATTTTGTGATATGTGGGATAGCTGCTGATATGTGATTTATTTGTGAAATATGTATTTTTTTAATTGTTGTTAATACGGCTGCTTCTGATAACCCACCATATTCTAATGATTGTATTCTCTTAAATATCACTTGGACTTTAGTGTGGACTTGACTGCTTATTCTGTAGCTATTATTGACCTCAGAGCATAAATGAGCCAGGGGAGATCTACACTGCCCTGCCTCTCGCTTTTGTAGAGCGAGAGGCAGGGTACACCCTGGACAAGTCATCCGTCTGCCACAGGGCTAACACAGAGGGACAGACAACCGTTCATCCTCTCATTCACACCTACAGCCAATTTAGCATCACCGGGTTTCCTAACATGCATGTCTTAAGATTGCGGGAGGAAGCCAGAGTATCTGAAGAGAAACCTCACAGACACATGAAGTACAGGAAAACTCCACAAGAAAAGCAGAAGCCTGGATGCAAAAGAAAAAGAAGAAAAAGAATGATCAGTTTATTATAACTTAACTAGTCCTGCATTGTCTCATAATCTATTTTTTGAGCCATTTTTGCCATTTAAATCGATGAAGTCATTAGTATTCATTCCACAGAAAGTGTCTGGTATCATTATGGTGCTCCACTTACTGCTCCAGCCTTACAGTTGTCCCATTAGGCTTAACTGTAAGAGCTAATGTTGCTAGAGAGTGCTTTGTCAACATTCACTCTGTTCACCCCACAGTCCTCTCCCAAATTGTTATAGTGGTCCCCTTTGTCTGTCGTCTTAATGGATGGCACCAAGCAAGAATAAAATGTAAAAACAGATTTTGGCCAGCACACACCCACTCTACTGATAAACCCATTTAGATGAGGAAGCTAGTGATGGAGCATGCAGCTATAGGGTCATTTTCCCCAGCACCGGTGATAGCACTGAAGAGCCCCTCTAGCGATCTGACATCAGCCTAATGAAGAGCAGCTTTAGTGGAAATGCTGCTGCATCATTAAAATCTGGTCTGGTTCATTTAGTATGCAGGTATTCACGACACAAAGCACTTTGAACCCACTCTCCACTTTGTATCTGTTGACTCTGAGGGCTAAGAGGTAGATAGAGAATGAGAGCGGTAGCAGGATTTAAAAAAAAGAAAGATGGTGAGAGGAATAAATGCAGAATGAAGTTCGAAATATTAAAAGGGGCAAGAGGGAGAAAGGCAGGTAGATGAGGTGAAAGGAGTCAAATCATGGACTGCAAAAAGAGCAGGGACCTTGTGTTATAATTTCTAATGCAGCACTTCTACTTTTAAGGGCTGTTGTGAAGGTGAGATTGGGGGTCTGATAAAGAGATTTATCAGATCCTGGATCAAGGAAGGATACACAACATGATAGTAAGGTGAACAAGCTATACTTGCTATACTTGTTAGATAAAATAACAAGAAAAAAATAAAGGGCTGGGCACAATGTCTGTGTAGGTTTCTGCGGTAGTGTCTGTGGTAGTCTTAGGAGCTTGAAAAGAACTACCACGCCATGTTAAAAAGCTCAAATCAAACTCAAGTCATGCTCAAACTGGTTTCTTTAACATGACAATTAGTTCACTGTATTTTAATGGCCTCCAAAGCCAGCGCATGGGTCGTGGGATCATGGATCTGCTGTCACACATGTGGTCCAATCAGTCCCAGACATCCTGTCCTTAAGCGTGTGTGGCTCCCCTGTTATTAAACTCGTAGCTAAACAGAACTATGCTGTGTGTTTTATACTGAAGGTCACTCTTAAAGACATTGAGCCGTGATTATTCACGTTTCCGCCGACTCATTTGTCAACAATCATCACGATGAACAGTGTGGATGTTTGTCCATCACATGACTTCCTCGTAAACCAATATGGCGCCAAGAATGTCCTCCAAGGTATTTTTAACCTCTGTTTTCATGGTCACTAGCCTGCCCAATGTTCAAGAGACAGCAAGTCAAGCCACACATGCGGGTCATGATAGACTTGTGCTCAGTAAAAGGGCGATAGCAAGCTGATATGCTTAAAATGCACATTGATAGAGTCGTGACGATAAGAGGTGGAATGTGAAAAGCTTCCTTTGCTTTTCCTCCTTGACACGACGCTGATGAAAAGAGCAAAGCAGCTCTGACAGGAAGAAGGGCTCAGCACGAGCTTGGATAAAAAGATTGGCATCCACTTGGTTTCATAGTTAGAGCATAAAAGGGGAATCATTATTTTATTATTTTCCAAATGCATGAAAAATAATCCACAGAATGAGAAATGAAATGTGTCACAGTGACCATTGAATTTGGCACCTGTTGTTGTTGTTGTTTCATTTTTTAATTGCTTCATTTCAGTGGGCCAGAGTCAAGTGTTATGGCTGTGTACACAGTATATTAGTCTCCTCTTACGGTCAGCCACGTAAGTCTGTTGTGTAAATTTACCTTTGTGTGTTTTTTTTATCTTGAGCAGGAGACAGGTGTTTATTTTAAACAGCGTATGACTATTTGTAAATGCAAAGACTCATTTCTCTGGTGCGCTCATTTGTTTTCAGAAGCATCAGAACAGTTACGGGGCCTTTTTGTGGATGAGATTTGTTGTCAATAATGTCAATATTTTTATCGATCTTTTATAGTTTCATATTTGCATTTCTCTCATTTATCTGCATTTAGAAAGTCTTTGCACGAATTATCAGTTAAACTCTTTAACATTGAAGCAGTGTGAATAATCCTGAACATGCACGCTATATGCATGCTCCACCCTATATGCATGCTCCACCCTATATGCATGCTGCACCCTATGTGCATGCTGCACCCTATGTGCATGCTGCACCCTATGTGCATGCTCCACCCTATGTGCATGCTCCACCCTATGTGCATGCTTCACCCTATGTGCATGCTTCACCCTATGTGCATGCTTCACCCTATGTGCATGCTGCACCCTGCTGTAATAGGTGCCATTTTCAATGCACATGCCTTAAAACAGTGTATTTTTGCAGTAAATTTAAAAGAGCAGCTTTTCTAGCTAAAATGTAAGCATGCAAACATCAGAAGGGACCACTGGACCAGTAAATACAAATTTATAGTCATGCACACAAGCGATTTGCAGCGTTTATACTCCAGGGTGTAAATCCCCTTGATTTCACACTGTATTGCTATTGCCGTTTGGGTGGTGTGTGTGTGTGTGTGTGTGTGTGTGTGTGTGTGTGTGTGTGTGTGTGTGTGTGTGTGTGTGTGTGTTGTGTGTGTGTGTGTGTGTGTGTGTGCGTGTGTGTGTGTGTGAGTTTGTGTGTGTGTGTGTGTGTGTGTGTGCTGCCCTTGTGGTGGGATGCCAGTGCATGACAGGCTTTCCTCAGCCCTGTAAAGTTGTCTTAGTGCTGCGATAAATCACTTTGTTTATGCGTGCTGAGCGGGTTATCCAGCAGTGGATCTGGGAATAGGTTGGATGCAGTGCCACAAAAGAGGCAGAGACCCTAAATGGAGCGAAGAATAGCCTATTGTCCTCCTACATTCTTCTCTTCTTCCTCCTTGAGTTTAGTTTTAGACTTTCTATCAGAGTTGCTTGTCACAAGGAAAATGTATTCTGTGCTTTCATGTTTTTTCGGGTGATTAGTGCATGTCTGCATTAGGAAAAATATTTCTGTTGGTCCTTTTATTCATTCTCATTCAGTGCGTTTTCAGAATACAAGATGAACCAGATATGAAGGAGCAAAGTGACAGATCATAGGTCGTTCTGTTTTTGGCACATTGCACACGGAGCCATCTTTCTGATGCGACTCAAATCTGTGATTTATTTTTTAAGTCACCACTTCTTCTTGACCTCACTGACCAGCTCTCATCCTAGTACCTTTACACACTCCAGTCTCTCTTGTTACTTCTCTCTTAAGTTCTATCTCAGCTCATCTACCCGACCACAATCTGACCTCTCACATTATGCTTTCTCCATTTCTCCTTCCTTTCTTGGCCATGTCTTCACCACATTTCGCTTTCATTTATCTTTAGTGGAAAATGTGCCGCTTGAGGCCATGACAGGAAACAGGAGGCAGCGATGTCTAGCTGGTGTTTTGCCTGTTTGCTGTCAGGGAGCAGAAAAGGCTCCGCTGAGGGGGAGCAGGATTACAAGAGGGGAAAAAATATTGGGAAAGACAGATGATTAGAGATGAAAGCATTTTTTCGATACAAACAGAGGAGTCACAGTGGGAGGTGGAAACACTCACTCTTGTGCCACGTGTGTGGGTATTTAAGTAAAGCATTTGAAATATGTTAACATCTACATACTGTACGTAGCAATGGCAGGAGTCACGGGAAACTGATGCCAGCTGAACTGACATCCTTGAAGAGCAAACGAAAACCAAAATATGCATAATGTAACATACAGTTTAATTATTTTAAGCATCCACACTTTCTTCTCTCCACTGTCATCATGTCTGTAGTTGAGTACACATGCGGGATAAACCCCATATAGAGAACTTAAAGTGGTACCACTGCAGCATGTCATCTCTCAATTAACGTCTTGATGCAACTATTAAAAAGTCTGCTTTGGAACTTGGCATTCCCTCTGTTCGGCTTTCGCATCCTCACTC